TTCAATTAATTATCCTTATTTAACATACATTATGCAAGAGCTAAATCTGTCTATTGCGGGTCTTTATTTAGGCCTGAAATGTTATCTAAATTATTAATTAGACATTAATTAACCTATCCAGACCATAATCAATCAACTGTAGATGGCATCGCTAGCCTGCGATCTTTAGTGGATTGTGAGCCGATTTACTGCATAACTTTCCTTCACGATTTAACGATTAAATGGATAATCGAGACTATGCTGTTTATCGTACTGAATTTAGTAATGATGATCAAGGCTAGGCGGAAATTCAATCGCTTTGTTCTCAGTTCATAGTGGATCAATTTGAATGAAATTTTCAGCAAATTGCCTTTACATTATCTAGTTGTTAACTATTATAGTGAGAACAGCCAACTCGTTATCGAATCTCCCATAATGTACCTTTAGAATTCTAATGAGTAAGACGCTGGCTCGCTAGCCTGGAGGTTGGGTGTTCGATCCCTGCATTGGCCGAGAAAGTTCATCCAGATTTCCCGGCGTGGTTCCCCCTTGTCAGTGATGCAGGACGGAGGGCATGACAAGGACAGCTGTCTAGTCGTTCGGAACGGTACAAAAAACCGAGGTCCCGTGTACACATTAAAATGCACGTAAAAGACCCTTGGCAGTTGAAATTCGATATAAGAGTAGACCACAGTGCCGCTGCCTGGGCAAAATGTCCCTCTCAGCACAGTGTATGGCGCATGCCCGTCTTCATTAGTCCAGTTTAGTAGCAGAACAGTAGGACGTTAAACCCCATTTCATTTCATTTCTATTACTGCTTATTACTGAGCGACGTTTCGACTAGGCCTCTCCAGTCATTATCAAGTAATGATAAAATAAAATAAAAATATGAAATTATCATTGTTTAATAATGGATTAGAGAAGCCTAGTCAAAACGTCGTTCGGTAATAAGCAGTAATTGTATTCCATAGAATTGTGACCTGTTTACTCCAGTTCAATTACTAAATGCCATTAAAACAATTTATATAAAAACGTAGAAGCAGATTTGTGTGTATCAAGCTTCAAATGACTAGAAAGAATCATATTCCTGAAGCAATGGTCCGAGAAATCCCTCCCTGCCTATTGCTGGAAGCTGCTAACGAATAGAAAGAATCATATTCCTGAAGCCATGACCCGAGAAATCCCTCTCTGCCCATTGCTGGATTGGCTTCTGATACTTGAGCTTTCTTCCGTCAAAAGGCAACACCCAGTAACTCATGTTTTCTTATTTTGAGAAAACAAAGGAAAACCTAATGAATGAATATTAAATCCCAACTTATCCATTTATTTGACTATTGAGTTACTAGGTTTTTCTGTGGCATACTAGGAAAATGAGAGAAGTTGCTAGGTTGTGTCATGGGTGTAATAGCTTACAAAATGAAAAGATCGGAATATCTAGTACAACAACAGGAAGCACAAACATACCCTAGTAACTACAAATTTGGTCCTAACTCAATTTTGATATAAAAAAGTGAGTTACTGGGTGTTGCCTTTTGACGGGAGTTTTGAGGGAGTGTGTCTATTCTTCAATCAAATCTATCCCAAGTAAAGCAAGTACATGACAGCCCTTCGTTTAATCTGGGATCTTCCCTAAAACTTTGGACAGTGATTTAAGGTATTTTTAAAAAAACGGTGAAAGTCTTGTTCGTCTACATACAGTATTGTTTACATGATATCTGTATTGCTAGCCTCGTTTGTCACGCAATTAGTTTTTCTGCAATATTCTGCTATGCACTGGTTATTTGTGCATAATAAAATCGTGAGTCGTGACGTAACGTTATGTTAACATATTTGGTCCAATTTGGAGTTTTGTTTAAAGCGTAATCATATTGTTACGCAGTTAGCTATTGGTTGTTAATCGGACTATTCACCAATCATAATTTTGAACAGAAATTTGCTTTCTTTAAAGCAGTGTTTAGTGGGATTAGCTCTAATCAAACGAGGGGGGTTGGGTGGCTGAATGGTTAGCGCGTGCGCGCTGTATCATAAAGTCTGTCATTGAGTTAACTGGCGTGGTTTCGATTCCCCGGTTGTACGTGATAAGGAGTAGAGTCGCCTGTCCAACCTCGTGGGTTTTCTCCGGGTTCCTCCGGTTTCCTTCCACTGCTAAAGACCCCTACGCGCAAGCGAATTATGGAAATAAAATTGAACCATATGTTAGTCCCGAAATGACTTAGTTTGGGTCGAGTTGACGTTAAGCCCTCTTTCTCTCTACGGATAATATTGCGCGAACATATGAAATGGAAATGAAAATGGTCACAAACTGTTTATATGTTATAACGGACACTGTTTTTACCAACTAGATGAAATAATAATTTTTGGTTTTACTTTACCCGTCTGCCCGAAAAGTTAGATTGCCTGAAAGTAAGGGGGCAGCTATCCCCCCTCCCCCGCCTCAGGATTGTACGCCTATGCAGTATTATTATCTTGAATTGTAGCCATTTACAGCTGGAATACAGGCAAACCGTGTGATATTGAATGATGGAATGATGCCATACACAGCCGTCTGGTTGGCGAGCCGCAGTAAAGGGACATAACTCGTTTATTACAGCTGACTGTGAAGAATATTGATGTCTTCATTCGGTCGTTAGTACAGCAGTGTAATATTTCTTTCTGTCTTGCATATTGGATTGGGAGTGGGCGTACTCAGGTGTTTAAAGATAGTCGGGGAGGCTGTACAGGTAGGATAAGGGTATGTAGACGGAAAGAGAGAGAAATGGGGCTTAAAGTCCACTTCCGCACAGAAAGAAATATTACAATGTTAACAAAACGACCGAATAAAGACGCATATTTCATTATTCCGGTCGGTGCAGAAACGTGGGACGTTATACCCTATTTCATTAGCCCGGTCGGTGCAGGCACGTAGGATGTTATACCCTGTATCAGAAACTTAGCCCGGTCTATACAAAAACATGGGACGCTATATCCTATTTCATTAGCCCAGTCGGTGTAGAAAAGTCAGACATTAAATTCCGTTTTATCTCATGTATACACTTATTTTTTTATTATTTTTTCTTTCTTTGTTTTTTTTTATAAAAAAAAAGAGGTAAATTACTCATTTCTAGAAGAATATTGCGCAACTGCTTGTCGAAAAGATATAAATAAACAAACCAACTGACATGATAAACAATTATTACTGCACAACACACGCGTAATGATTAAAGATGCATAATGTAAGATTTAGATAAAGAGCTGGCTATAATAGATTATGCAAAATGAATATATTGAAAATTTCATTCAAATTACTTTTATTCTGTTTGGAGTTTTGACAATATTTGCCATTGGTTGCTTATTAAATTCAAAATTGGATAATCGAGACTATGTTTTTATCGTACCGACTTTAGTCATGATAATCGAGGCTAGGACTAAAATTCAATCGCTCATATCTCGGTTACGAGTGAAGCAATTCGACTGAAATTTTCGGTATACTCCCTTTACATTATCTATTTTTTAACTATTATAGTGCGAACTGTCAGCTCTTTATCTAATCTTACATAATGCCCCTTTAATAAGCGGTGTACATATTAGCGTGGATTAAAGAGAGAGAGAGAGAGAGAGAGAGGGGTAACGTTCCCTCGACACAGACTAGGTCGTTTCGGGACTAAGATATGGTTTAATTTTATTTCAATAATTCGCTTGCGCGTAGGGGTCTTTATCAGTGGGAGGAAATTGGAAGACCAGGGGAAAAGGCAACCCTTCTCCTTGTCAAATACAACCGGGATTCGAAACCACGCCAGTTGACTCAATGACAGGCCTTATGATACAGCGCGCCCCTCTCCCCCCAACAAGTGTGGATTAAGCCGTAAGAAATTTGATATTTTTAGCGAATAATAGAAATGACAAATCTTTACTTTAACTCGATAAGAACTAGACAAATAACTTCTGTTATAACACTTATTATCTCCTCAACTATAATTAGTCTTTGTAGAAATCGCGTTTAAAGTGGTTTCAACCATCTCTATTAGTAAGTGCAGGAGGACCACACTACACGCAAAACAAAAATCTACAAGATAAACCTGCGGACAAGACAGAAAAAAAACATGGCACGAAAAAGAACACTTGGTAGATGGAATTCGAAATAAGAATAGGCCGTTACGCAACAGTCCGGGCAAAATGGAATGTACCCCGTAGCACACTGCCTGCGTATGTCCGTCTTCATTTGGGGGGTTGGATGGCCGAATAGTTAGCAAGTGCGCGCTGTATCATAAGACCTGTCATTGAGTCAACTGGTGTGGTTTCGAATCCCGGTTGTACGTGACAAGGAGTTGGGTCGCATGTCCAACCTCGTGGGTTTTCTCCGGGTCCCACTGCTAAAGACCCCTACGCGTAAACGAATTATTGAAATAAAATTAAACCATATGTTAGTCCCGAAATGACCCCATTTCTTTCTTTCTTTCCGTCTTCATTTACCAGTCGGTGCAGAACAGTAGGATATTAAACCCCATTTCCAGACCCGTAGCTGGCGGGGGGAGGGGGCAAGGTGGGCAAGATGGGCAGACTAACCAATGTTGGGCACGTTGGTAGTTGGTTTCGTATTACATCCAATGAAAAGGGCGCGGTTCGGTGCTGCCCCCTTGTCCCCACCCCGCCCCGCTAGCTACGGGCCTGATTTCATTTCATTCCAAAAAGAAACTGGGGTATCTTTAACCATCCATGGTGATGAACTCGGTGAAATGGTATTACTTCAATGTTAAAGTATTCTAGCCATTGGAATTCCGCCTGATAATGGGTATATCTCTACCAGAAATAGCAGGGACATATGTGCCACTGGTTGCCGGTATAGAACTATGTCTAAATTTAGATTTGACAAGTAAGGCATTTGATTCAAGGCTAAATTCATTTTATGGGAAACGAGTAAGAAGGCGTGTCAAATAGAAAATATTCACGCGCTCAAACGTCAGGTGAGATAGCAACACTATCCCGTTCATTGGTTAAAACTTATCTCGGCTATCTTCGGTATTTTCCGTGAGGTATTTAAAACACGAATAGCAAACATCTTGTATCATTGGGATAAATTAATCCGGGGTGTAATCATTCAAGTTAAACTGTGTGAAAAGTTTTTATTCATTCAGTTCATCATCCAAAATGTCTTCCCAGCGCCCGGAAATTGAAGAAGGATATTTGGGACCACAGTCCGGTCTCAAAGAAGCCGGTATGTCGCCATCATCACACAAAAAGGATGAATTTGTTATTTTGGAAAACGAAGTTGAAATAAAATTCGATGTCACTGCTCCGGTGAAATGCACCACTAATCTTATTCAATGCAGAACTGAGAAAGATATGAGCGAGTTTGTTTTCGTTCAGTCCAACCAAAAGGATAATACCGTTACGTTTGTCCTCAGTGTGCCGGAGTCTGGATATTACAAGTTTCAGATCTTCGCCTTGCCGAAATCCAACGAGAGTAAATCCCTTCCCAACGTGTACAACTACCTGATTCACTGTAAACAAGCCTTGAAAACTGTTTATCCATATCCCAAACAGTTTGCTATCTGGAAAGATGGATGTTTTCTGTATGAGCCTCTTATGTTGAACTCATCTGTTCGTCTTCGCAATGTCAACTTTAAGGTGAGTTATCAGTTTTAAATTGTACATTTATTTACGCGCAATATTCACTTTCATAAAGACCGGAGAGGTCTAGACAAAATGGCACTCAGTAATAAAAAGTAATTAAAATAGTAATTAAAATGTCTTGTTAAATACATGCGTCAATTGCTAAATGCCGCTCAAAGAAGAAACAGAAATAGCTTGAAACGTCGGAGTATTTGTATTCTATAGAATTCCTACCTGTATATTCCAGTTCAATTACTAAATGCCATTGAAATATTTAGTTTTGTCTTCTTGTATGCACACTTGATTAAGTATTTCAATAAATGATGCACACCAATAAGTGACGTGATGCTCATCAATAACTGACGTTTTTTGAAATAATGCACACCAATAAGTGACGTGGTTGAAATGATGCTCATCAATAAGTGACGTATTTGAAATGATGCACATCAATATGTGACGTGTTGTTTGAAATGATGCACACCAATAAGTGACGTGTTTGGAATCAGTCACGTGTTTGAAATGATGGAGATGTTAATCTTTAGTGATAATTGCGCTGAAGACCGTATTTCTTCTACTTATGTCCAGTTTAGGAAATGAAAAGACAAACACGCGATTGAGAGAGAAATGGGGTTTAACGTCCACTCGACACAAACTAGGTCATTTCGGGACTAACATATGGTTTAATTTTATTTACATAATTCGCTTGCGCGTAGGGGTCTTTAGCAGTGGGAGGAAACCGGAGGACCCGGAGAAAACCCACGAGGTTGGACAGGCGACCCTACTCCTTGCCACGTACAACCGGGGATTCGAAACCATGCCGGTCGACTCAATGACAGACTTTATGATACAGCGCACGCACGCTAACCATTCAGCCATCCACCCCCCCCCGCGATTGAATTATTACAGTATTATCAGGTACCACGGTGTGGCGGGTTGTTTGAACAGATTAAGATAATTTAATATCATCGAATAGTGACTTGTTTTTAAAAATTAAGTTAATACAACATCATCGAATAGTGACTTGTTTTGAAACACTAAACGGAAACCGACTTGTTTACCAATTCCAGTTTCGTTAGAGGGATGTCCTCTCTAAATATTCAACCAGCTCTTCTTGGGGCAACGCTTTTACGAAAATCCAAAAACTCCATCAATTCGATATGCTTGCTCCGTGAACAATTACACGTTGATATCGCGGACTTTGATTTTTGATATGACCTCACAATTTCAAGATGGCTGAATATTTGTTCATAGTACGGTTGTATTTGTTTCGAAAGTCATGTAGTAGATTTTGGTTTAACAGTTAATCATATGAAAACAAATACTTTTTTTTTATTTTTTTAGGTGCTCGTACCGAAAGCTAACGCCGTGGCTGTAGTTGTCGAGGGTGAATGGTTTCAGCTGGAGAAAAAGGGTGACGACATCTGGGAGACCAAGATTGACCTCGACAAATGGAGGGGCAAGGACACGAAGTTGACCCTGAACGCTAATCTTGAAGCTGATGAGACGAAATTTTCAACTCTTTTAGAATACAGGCTTTAAAAAAACAGCAAATAACTTTTTTATTTAATGAAAAGAAGAACGGAATGGTTACGTTAAGTGATATCGCCTTTCTGTATTTTACGCTAAGTTATAGCTAGAGGATGGTGTAATGGTTTGGTTTCCAAGGCAACATACTGACCATTGGATGTACATCAATTTTTGGAGACATCTTACTATTTGAACTGTTCAAAGAATTCTGGAAACTTTTTGTGTTCGTCTTGTTCTTAATGTTTCATTTTGTTTCAGTTTTTTTCACCCCGTTCAAAAAACACCACAATCATATTCAAATAAACGTTTCGTTCTGTTGAACAATGGCGAAGGTCTTGGTGACCAAATCATTGCACCAACTACATGTATAACGTATGGAAGCTTATAGGGGTCAATATCGTGCAGTGGTAGATATCGCGATATTTTTACGATAATATTTCAACATATTGTGATTGTTCCAAAGATTTTACGCCTGAAAAGACATTTTTTGCTAAGATGAATGAATCAACGCGCTCCGCTTGCATGTCGTCATTTCTTTTTCAGTGTGCATGTTTGTGCTAAAATATTGCTATTCTGGGGCTGTGTCAACATTGCATTTATCGCCATATGTCGACACATATGAATATGTTGACAAAGCTTCAGAATAGCAATATCTTAACGCAAACGCTATGACGGTATACAACACAGCGCGTTGATTCAAATAACTCGGCAAAAATAGTCTTTCAGAGTTTTGATAATCGCAACGATCACAATAATATGTTGACATCTTACCTTATTATTATCGCGGTATCCATCGCTCTATTGGCCCCGATATGCTTCCATGGTAACGTGCTTGTTTATTTCGTTGATTTAGGTCAATTCGGTTGTACGGTTGGTTTTATTCAACAAGACTGCTGTGTAAAAACTGTTGGGAGATGTTAAAATTTCTAGCCGTACAAACGAATCGTGTAATGCTAGATATTGTGTTTTCATAAAATTTTAATCATCGTGTTTTAAAATTTTAATGGTTTTTTCGTCATTAAGATGTGCTTGATGAAGCGTGGTCTTTTGTATATGTAATACATACAGCCGAAATTCTGGCGGGTGCTTTTTCCATAAAAATTTAATGTCACCATGGACATTGGCTTCCGGGCAAAGTTTTTTGGGGGGAATTCATCGCATTTTGAATTGTAAATTGTCACGTCGATAACTCCCAAACCTCTGTACAATTGGGTACCAAGGGAAGTCTTTAGATCTCCACGATTCAGGGTCAAAAACTTAACCTTGAACGAATTTTTTAAATTATAAGCTACGTCACTAAAACCACCCCCTCCTTTTCGTTTTAGTTTTATAAAGCGACTGTTCTATTTCTAATAGATCACTCTCCAGCACTCTATAAAACAGTGTTGTACCTAGCAAGAGACTGAAATTAGAATCAATCGAGTAGGGTCAGGGGTGGAAGGTAAAGTCTAAAAATGAGTGCCAACTGAAGATTTGGTCAAGGTCACGAGATGTAAACAAGGCTAGGGCACGTGATTATTGACGAAATTGTGATCTGGGGTAAGGGTTAGGGCTAGCCCAGTTTGACCGTTGACCAGATCTGCCTTAAGTTTTAGACCTAGCCCAGGGTGGAATACATTTGACTATTACAAGACCGTACAACCGCATTTTACCCAGACACCCAATGTCTTAGCGTAGCATGTTCATTAGTTGGTATTTATATATTGTTTATGTTTTTCACTGTCAAACATGCGCTGTGGGTGTTTTTTTCTGTTCAACTGTCAGACATGCGCTGTGAGTGTTTTAATCTGTTCACTGTTATTATTCTTGATAAATTCTTTACTTCATTTCTTATTCAAAATAAACATAATTTAAATGTTAAATAATTTTTGGTGTATTTTTTTCTGTTCTTAACTGTAGGAAAGGGGACAAACATTTTAAGACGCCATTGAGTCAACTGGCGTGGTTTCGATTCCCCGGTTGTACGTGGCAAGGAGTAGGGTCGCCTGTCCAACCTCGTGGGTTTTCTCCGGGTCCTCCGGTTTCCTTCCACTGCTAAAGACCCCTATGCGCAAGCGAATTACTGAAATAAAATTGAACCATCCCGAAATAACCTGCTCTCTCTCCCCTCTCGTTTCATAGAAGCAGAATCATAATTGTTTTTTGGTTTTTTGTTTTTGGTTTTTTTTTTTATTATTGTTATGTGGGGGTGGGGGGGCTCGGATCCCAGGACCATCGGGACATCTAAACACTGCCCCTTGCCTCACTGACAAAGGGGGTGGGGGGGCGTGTCGGAAAATCTCAGAAAACTTTCTCGGCCAACACCTGGATCGAACCCCAGATCTCATGATTAGCGAGCCTTACTCACAGAGCCACCGCGGCTCCAGAATTTTGTGGCACTAGAAATCTCCATAGACTTCAAGATGAAAACAATCTGTGATATTTTAAGCCGAGGTAGACGTGTTTTGATTTACTTGTAGTGAAGAAGTCCACCTGCTGTTCCAGGGGTAAAAGGTCAATTGAAATGCCGATGATTAAGAGTTGATTGGAATTTGATATGAAGGCATGCTGCACGGACGTATGATTCATTTACCTTTAATCGTAGAATATTTTTATTTCACGTTTTACCTTCCGTGTATTATTCTATAAATAGGTCAAGCTTTAAAGATGCATTATGTAAGATTTAGATAAATAGCTGGACGTTCTTGCTATAATAATAATAATAGTTCAAAAATAGAAATAAAAATTAATATTATATTGAAAACTTCAATCAAATTAATTTATTCTTTGTGAAGTTATGACTGTTTGAAGATATAGTCTAGATCGTTCATTATCTATTATGTTACTTGACATAGCCTCGATTGTCCAGTTTATCGTAAAAAAAAATAAATCTTGGGGATGTTTAGATCCATTCGATGATCTAGAGAGTTGATTATATGCTTGTCATATTAATAAATATCTAAATAACAATTGAAGCCAAAAGAAAGACCTTCTTTAGGCAGATTTATCTCTTACATAATGCATCTTTAAAGTCTAGATAACTGGCTGGACACGTAAAATGGAAATGAAATGAAATGGGGTTTAACTTCATACTGTTTTGCTCCGACTGGGGTAATGAAAACGAGCATGCCGTGTGCTATAAGGGAAATTTTGCCCAGACAGCGGTGCTATGACCTACTACTCTTCTTTCGAATTCCATCTGAAGCGGGATCTTTTACGTGCAAGCCAATGTATACACGGGACCTGGGTTTTTCGTCTTGTCCTACAGCACTGACGGGGGGGGGGGGGCACGCCGGGATATCCCGATGAAGTTTCTCGCAGGGATCGAACACGGGGCCTCCGGGTTAGCGAGCCAACGTCCTACTTACTGAACCACCGTGGCTTCCGCGTTACTTGCTGCTGTTATTTCTATTTCCAACTGTAAGGGAATATATAACGTACTGTTCATGGTAGACACTGGGCCTCGGTTTTTAGTGCAATGCCAACAACTAGACGCTGCAGTCAGCTGTAGGCGGTGCCGTCGAGAGCAGTAGCTAGACCTTGAACAAAAAACCACCTAGGACATCGTACACAATATACATACTCTAAGTAATTGAATCTATAATGCTTAATTCTCAATTATTGTTTGCTTCACAAGAGGTAGACGGGTCCCGTAGGCATTTCCTAGCTCAAGGTCAATTATTGTCCTCGCTGCCCACCACCACCACCACCACCACGAGATGATGAAGACGTGTTGCTCGCTCGTAACTGATCAAAGTTAAAGATACATTATGGGAGATTAGATAATTAGATAAAGAGCTGGCAGTTCTCACTATAATAACTAAAAACTAGATAATGTAAAGGGAATTTGCTGAAAATTTCAGTCAAATTGATCAACTCTGAACCGAGAATTTAGCGATTGAATTTTCGGTATATCCTCGATCATCATTACTAAAGTCGGTTCGATAAAAATATAGTCTCTATTATCCATTTCATGATTAAATCATGAATAAAAATTGAGCAGCAAATCGGATCCTAATCCAGTGACTATCGCAGGCGTGCGATGACATCGAGAGTTGATTATGGTCTAGATAAGTTAATTAATGTCTAATTAATAATTTAGATAACATTTCAGGTCTAAAGAAAAACCTGCAATAGGCAGATTTAGCTCTTGCATAATGTATGTTTAATTACGAGAACTTTATTTTAAAATAAAAGCATCCTCCCAAGTCTGCGTATCTCCGATAAAGCAAAACTAAAACCTAATCCGTTTTCTTTTACAGTACATATTTTACACAACATGACTAGAGTTTTTATACAAATTATTAAAGTTTTTACACAAACTATTAAAGTTTTTATACAAACTATTAAAGTTTTTATACAAATAATTAAAGCTTTTATACGTGTGTCATCAAGAGATATACCACAGTTTGCTTTCATCACAACACGAGATAGAATTCCTTCACGTGTATATACGTTAGTTATATACTTTAAATATTGCATGATTCAGCCGAACTTATATTTCATAAACACCACGATAACACACGAGCAAAAATTCACACGCATGCCTAACATTCCATATTAACTTTAATTTGCCTTAAAGATTCATTATTCAAGAGCTAAATTTGCCATCGGGTGCTCTTGATTTCAATGGATTTAATCACGATTGGCGGTTAGTAATCAAAGAAAATGGATAATCGAGACTTTGTTTACTATCGCAGCAACGGTAGCAATGACAATCGAGACTTCGCTATTCTTCAAAAAGCCCTAACATCGCTCAACATGAAGTAATTCGACTGAAATTTTCTTTCGTTATCTAGTTTTTAACTATTATAGCGAGACCTGTCAGTTCTTTATCTAAATCGTACATATTGTATCTTTTAATGTTTTCTTATCGAACCGCAGTCAATTGAGAGGGGGGATAACGTCCACTTGACAGGCGACCCTACTTCTTATCACCTACAACCGGGGAATCGAAACCACACCAGTTGGCTGAATGGCAGACCTTATGATACAGCGCGCACCCGCTAACCGCTAACCACGCTTAAGGCGTGTTTTTCATCATCAGCGTGGAATAGATAGATGGACGTACTGTGTTTCGGCTGTAGTCTATAAATCGTCAGTCGTGAATTAACTAGTTCTCTTTTACAATCTGAGAAAAATGAAATGGGGTTTAACGCCATGTGGGGAAATTTTCGCATTCCAACTGTTCTTTAACGTGCACGTCAATGTGTACGCGGGACGTCGGTTTTTCTTCCCATCCAAACGACTATATGTTGTCCCTTGACCTGCACCATTGACAAACAAGGGGGAACCACGCCAGAACATTCCCATGAGCTTTCAACGCCTTAATCACTGTTTTGATCGAGAAAGTTCATCGGAATGTTTCGGCGTGGTTCCCCACTGTCTATCAAAATGAAATGAAATGGGGTTTAACGTCCCACTGTTCTGCTCCTATACGGGCTAATGAAGACGGGCATACGCCATACAGTGTGCTATGGGGGAAATTTTGCCCGGGCAGCGGCACTATCGCCTACTCTTATATATTCCAACTGCCAAGGGATCTTTTACGTGCATTCCAATGTATACACGGGACCTCGGTTTTCCGTATCATCCGAAGGACTAGACAGCTGTCCTTATCAGGCCGTACCTTCTGCACCATTGACACGGGGAAACCACGTCGGAAAATCCAGATGAACTTTCTCGGCCAATGTAGGGATCGAACACCGACCTCCAGTCTGAACCAGCACCCGAACGCAAATGGCCCTAGCAATTGACTATTCAATATGGTGGCGACCATGTCAGTTGTTCCGCCTGCTATATGTTCTCCTATTTACTCATGTATTTTTAAAAAATGGTTAATTTTCCATACTGCTATGTGAAAGCAAGTTTAAAATAGGTTAAAAATAGGATTAGTCAATATCAGAATATTTTTAATTGGATTAATGTCACCCAACCAACTAGACCATTTCACGTGTACAGTTTTTTGTGGTGGGCCTATATATATATTCGAATAAGAAGATCCTAATCTGTCAAATTCATCAAAAAAAGACGAAAAAAAAATTCAAACTTAACATCTATACTCCAAAGCCCATTCACTAACTTTCAGGTGTTAACATGGACCCTATAATACCGACCAATGTGTAAATAACCCAACGGCAATCGGCAATTTTATTATATTTTGCAGAAAATCTTCTCAAGTGACAGTTATGTCAGCCATCTTTGAATTATCCCGACCGTGCTTTATCGCATGGTACGGCTGGTCACGACCACTGGTTGAACTAAATGTCATTCGCATGCAGATAGTTCGACTATAGTACGAAAATCCGTGCAACCCAACAAGGTCGGCCAGGCTAGCGAGCCAGCGTCTTAACCCCCCCCCCCCCCCGTCTTTTCAACCAAGTAACTCGCATGATACTCTTAAGCTTTCGGAAGCCGCCGTGGCTGACTGTTCAAAGCTTAAGAGTATCACGCGAGTTAATTGGTTGATAAGTCCTGATATAAAACAGAATTCTTGATGAATGTGTAAATGTTAAAGCACGTGTTTTATGTAAATAAATTATTAAGAAAATAAGAAACACATGTGTTTTATATAATATACATTAATAAAAGAATAATTTCACGAGCGTGTATTAACAAAATAAATATATATAACATATTATACTGGTAATACATTATTTTGATGTAAAATGGCTGCACGGGATAATTGGCACAAAACCTAAAAGCTATTTCTTACAGTCTACATATTACACAAACACTTGAGTTATGTCAGATCATATAAACATTAATAAGGTTGCTTCTAAACTTGGTGTATTCATGGTCAAATCTATTTGACAAGGTCAAATGCATATTTCCTCAAGGTTACGAGATGTAAACAGGGTTAGGGCACGTGATTGTTGCCGAGAAT